CAAGGTGGCCTGCACCACATCAGCAGGGGTGTGGGGCAAAGACCAGGTCAGGTGCACAGCCGACCCTCCTCCTCCTCCGACTTCTCAACTGGAACTAGCCTTCAAAACCCATCTCCTGAATCCATCCTGTCTGCCCCAGTCTGGGCCTCTGGGTCTCCAAAAGGACCTTCTCAGACTTTTCCTGCCCCTCCCACCTAACCCTGGCTGGGCAGGGGTAGTTGAGCCTCACACCCTGGACGTCTGGGCTGTTCCTGCCCCGGAACCGGCAGGGGGCCTCAGAAGCCGCTCCTCCGGGAGCCCCAGTCAATCCCCCTGAAGATAACCCCCCCAACACACACACCTCCCCACGGTAACAGAGCCCCTCTTCTCCCTGGGTCCCCTCCAGCTCTCCCCAGGCTCCACTTTCTTTTCTTCACAAAAGGTCCCCTTCAGGGCTCCCACCAAGGCCTGGCCAAGGGGCTGGAAGGAGACCCTCCCCGACTCCATCCAAGCGCGGGAGCTGGGTAAGAGGCGGGGAAATGAATATTAATTTATCATGATTAGGCAAATCCGGCAGGGAGAGCCGATTCCGGAGGAGGCTAAAAAGATGAATTTCAGCAATAAAATTAAATAAGGACGGACGGGCAGCCCCTCCTCCCTCCCGCTTTGCTGATCTCTCTCTTTCTTACAATTTATGAGGCCAATTATGAAGATGAGGTTGGAAGTTCCTGGAACTTCACTAAATGCAAACGGCGGTCCCTGCTGTTCCCATCAAATTAATTAACCGCGCGCTATTGATGGCCGCTCAAGGCTGACGCAGGCGGCCCGCCCTGCGGCCGCCTCCACGGACATGAGGACCCAGAGTCTGGAGCCAGCCAGGGCTCCACCTTCTGCTGCCGGGCACTCCAGGACCGCCCTTCCAGCCCCCAGGCCCTCCCCAAGCCCTTGACAACGTAGGGGCATGCCCACAGAGTCTGGATCAATGCGCGCACGGACTCATATGTGGCGCTGCCCACACGTACAAATACAAAATCCTGACCGCGCAGCGCACACACTCGGCCGGGAATGCACATTAGACACACAGACAAATGAACGTGCAGTCGAACAGGCACAGTGACAGCTCAGCTGAGGGACTGGAGCCCAGTGGGTGAGGGTGTCTTGCTGTGACAGGACCACCGTGGCTAGGGTCATGGGCCTGCTTGGTCAGGGCCAGGCCAGAGTCCTGCAGAGCCCTGGGCCAGGTGAGGTTCCACAGCCACTCAAGCAGTGAGCAGTGGCCCCCTTATGTGGAGCTACTGGATTCCGGAGATGCCCTCCATGGCATCCTCAGAGCCCTCCCCCACACTCCTTCAACCCCTGGGTCCTCTCATCTTCAGGCCCTTCTTCAGGAGTGTTCCCTCTGGGTCTTTCGCTGGGGCTCAGCTTCTGCACTGACTTCCAGTGCGGAAGACCAGGGCTTGTGGAGGCCCTGGTTCAGACGACGGGGTGAGGCTTGGCCCAGAGTCTCAGGCCAGCTTTGGGTCTTCAGCCCTGAGGGGCCCCCTGTTCCAGAGCTCAGAAGCAGGGCTGCGCGGTGCCTTGGGCGTTCTAGAAAACTAGCTGGCTGGTGCCTGAGCTAAAGGGCAGAGTGGGCAGGGGCTAAAGGTCTTGAGGCTGGGCCTCAGGCCCAGGGCAGCGCGTAGGTGTCTGCAGAGGCTATAGGGAGCAGCAGGTGCCCCAGCTGCTGTAGCTCCCAGTGAGGCTGATCTCTGGGATGGTGGGAGGGGCTGGAAGGGGCTCTCCTGAGGAGTGAAGAAAGTGAAGCCAATGTCTTCTCCATGTTTTAGTCCCTAGTCCCGGCAAAAGGCAGCCCATCTCATTCATTCATTCATTCATTCATTTTTAAGGATTTTATTTGAGAGAGAGAAAGCACAAGCAGGGAGAGATGCAGAGGGAGAGGGAGAAGCAGGCTCTCCACTGAGCAGGGAGCCCAAGGTGGGGCTCGATCCCAGGATCCTGGGATCATGACCTGAGCTGAAAGCAGACACTTAACCAACTGGGCTCCCCAGCCCATCCCATTTAAAGGGACAGGAATCCTGTAACTCTCCTGCAGAAGCAAGACAAAGGGCCTGGGGTTTCCATTCCCAGCCCTTAAAACCTGGAGGGTAGGACATAGCTGGACTTGCCCACCTTGCCATGTCCACTCCAGGCCAGGAAGCTCCTGGCCCTGTGCCCACACCTACTCCCCCATGAGCAGCCAGAACCCAGGAGGAGAGTGTGGCCTTTTCTTGTTCCACTTTCAGTGCAAGTCTGGGGTCAAGATCAATGTCATTCCCCCAGCCCCTGGGAAAAGATGAGGCTCCCCGCTTGGCAGGGTTGGGGCAGAGCAGTCTAGAGAGGTCTGTATCTTGGGCACAAAGTGTCAGAGGGAAACTGAAATTAAGGGAGGCTCGCACTGACCAAGTGGCAGCCAGCTGGAGAGGGGTGGGACCCAGGGCCTTGCCCACCACCTGACCCTCCCCTACTCCAGGCATATGAGGCTCCCACCCTTCCCCACACCCCAGCTGCAATTGTGGGGGGACCTCCTCTGCCTCACAGCACGTCCCTCCCCTCACTATAAAAGGAGACCAAGACACACCCAGTTTACTGGTTCCCTACTGTTGCAGTAACAGACTTAGTGGCTTAAGACAACACGAAGTTATTACCACACAGTACTACTGTTTAGAAGTCTGACACAGGTCTCACTGGAATAAAACTGAGGTGTTGGCAGGGCTGCATTCCTTTATGGAGGCTCTTGCATAGAGTCTGTTTCCTTGCCTCTTCCAGTTTCTAGATGCTACCCACATCCCTTGGCTGGTGGCCCCCTTTCTGTCTTCAAAATCAGAAACATCATATCGCTCTGACCTTCCTCCTGTTGTCACATCTCTCTGTGTAGGTTTTCCACTTTTAAGGACTCATAATTAGATTGGGTCCACAGGATAAGCTTATCTCAAAATCCTTAACCTTAATCACATCTGCAATGTCTTTTGCCAAGCAAGGTCACATATTTACAGGTTCTAAGGATCAGGATGTGGACATCTTTGGGACACCATTATTCTGCCTACCATTCATGTGGTCTGGCCAGGGACAACTCTGGCTCATAGATGGAGTGATGACAGCTGGGTTTGGGGCAGAAAGTAGGCTTGTGGGCCCTTCTCCTCCTCCTCCTCAGGACCACATGGTGACTGGGTGGTAGTTTTGGGGTACTCAGTTGCTAGACAGGATGCCAGTTGCCACCAGGTTTCCAGCAGAATGGGACAGTGGGCAGGAAGCTTACTCAGAAACCAAGTCCAGACTCTGAAGTACCTGGAGAAACTTCCAACACACTCTTTGCTTAGTTTGCACTTGGAGAACCACCCCAAACTGGGCAGCCTTTCTCATGATAGAAATCCCTCCATCGGCTCTTCTCCTGGGCTCCTGTGTCAGATTGAGCAACCAAGAGGATACCACCTCCAGAATGGATCTCTCTGGAAGGTGTGGGCACGCTCCCTTTCTATCCTGATTTCCTGTCGTCCTTGCCAGGAGGTGGGACCGTGAGTTTACATGGTTTGAAGGTAATGTCTGGAATTCTGAATCTCCTGGGAGGAGGAGATGCCAGGAATGGGGTCAGGTCCCTGTTTTCAGACACAGAAGTCAGCACTGTCCTTCTCTGTGGTTCTGGGGACTTCCTGTGTGTGGGAAGGGGTTAATTGGTCAAGTTACCCCATGACCCACTGGTTCCCTCTTGTAGCCCTGGAGAGCCCTATTCCTCTGGGCCTGGAGAGGCTGCTGAGCAGGCCAGGGCCCTGAAGAGAGAAGCAAAAGGAGAGAAGCAACTTCCACATTTGGACCTGGACACTCCAGGCTTGGGTTTCTGCCAATTCTGACCCTTGCTGGGAATGATGGCAGACACTGGGGGTCCAGTCCAGAATAGAACTGGCAGAACTTGTGAGCGGGGGCCAGAAGCAGCCTTTGGGGCCCAGGAACTTGCCCAGCTTATTCATTCCAGGTGCCAGTCAGCCATGCCTCCTTGGGAGTGGAAGCCCTGAGGAACTCACCCCTCACAGAGGCTTCTGGGCCTTTGATTGACTGTCTCTGGTTGGTACTAGGCTGTGTAAGGGTCCTCCAGACTCCATGAGCTTTGGATTCCTTCCCTGGCATGACCCATGCAGGTGGGGCCCAGGGTTGGGACTTCAGGGTTCTGAACTAGGGTACCTACTCTGAGGCTGCCAGGAGCCCCTGACTAAAAATCAGGCCAACAAAGGTCAGCTCTGGGACTCTCGTTACTGACATAGAGGCAGGACTCAGCACCTACCCTCCAGTCCTGCCTCCCAGCCAGCATGCTCCAGCTTGAGCCCATCTCTGAAGCCACCAAACCCCCCATGCCATCAGGCCTCTCCTGGCTCCTCCAACACAGCCACCTTCTCCTGCGTTATGCCCATTATTCTTCATAGTTGGTATGCCCAACTCCATCCTGCAAGCCTCTGAGCACCATCCTGGTCCCGCCAGCTGGGCTTGCTCCTATCTGTTCTATCAAACTAAGCCCCTTAGCCTGACTCCCAGTCCTCCGTGTCTGGCCTCCTCCTGACTTCGGCAGAAGCATCCCCTCTAAAGCACGGTCTTTAGTTGTCCCCAAACAGGCAATTTCCCTGCCAGCCCGCCCCTCCCCTCCTCCAGGCAACCTTCTCTGACTGCCTCAGCACTGTTGGTGGCACACAAGTCACCATTTAGTTGTTCCTAATGAGTCTTGTCACCTCTGTTTATGTCCCAATAGCCTGTTCTAGGGCAGGGCCCACAAGAGCTGCTGATGGGGAGACAGGCGCTCCTAATGCCTGACTCCGTGAATTCTTCCTCTTACCCATCCACCCCTGCCCCCTTCTGAGCTCAGGAGCTGACTCAGGCCAGCCCGTCTAGAGAGCAGTTAACTTGTCTTTCTGGGATCCCATTCAGCTCCCATCTCCATCCCCCCACCCTGGGTGGAAGGCAGGCAGGGACTGCAGCCGCTCACAGACACTAGGCAGTCAGAATGTCAAGTGCACTTTACTGGGCCCCTGGGCCTTCAGATGCTGTCCTTACCGAGCCTCGGTTGCCCCCTCCCAACACCTCCAGCTGCAGAGGAAGCGGGCCGCATAGGAGTCCATGTGGAGTAGCGCATTCTCTTGCTCCAAAGGGTCTTAGGTGATGCTCAGCGACAGCTGTTTGCCCCTTCCCCTGCAGCCCCCATCCCACCCCCAGCAGCCAAACCCTCCTTGGGTAGGGAAGAGGGGTGTCTGGGCCTTCAGCACAGGAAGCTGGCTTCACACCAGCACCTGTTCTTGCTTAAAATGGGGCAAGGGGCCGTGTACAAAACTCTACCAGGGGCACTGGTGAGGTAGAAGGACAGCAGTCTGCTCCTGTTGAGGAGAGGGCCGGGCCAAGCCGAGCCTGGAAGCCAGGCTGGCCCCTTCCCTCAGGCCCAGGTGGCGGAAGTGGTGAGGTTCAGCCCACTAAGGCTGGGGCTAAGTACTGGATGGCCAGGTGGGGCAGCCAGTCCAGCTTGGTGCCTCCTCTCCCCCCAGCCGTGGGTCACCAGTCCCGCTCAGCTGGTTCTCGGTAGGGTAGGCCTAAAAGCCTGAAGACATCCTTCTCAGTGGGGGTGGGCAGCACTCGGCCAGGCCCCACCTTGAGGCCTTGGGTGTCCCGGACCACAGAGGTGCTGAGGGCATGCTCCGACAAGCTCATGCCCTTGGTCTTGGCCAGAGCCCGCATGGAGCGGTTGAAGTGGGCAGAGCCAGTGAAGTAGAGCAGGGCGCAGGCAAACTCGCTGTAGGGCACAATGATGATGTCCAGTCGTCGGTGCCGCCGCCCCGGCCCGGGGAGCTGGCACACCCCCAAGTACTTCTGCTGCTGGCCGTTCTCCTCCTGGCTCACCAGGTCATCTGTCAGAAACCCTGGAGCAACATCAGAAGGCCGCTGGGAGGGCAAGGAGCCAGGCCCGGGCTGCCCTGTCCTCCCAGGTCTCTCCTGTTCATCCCTGGGTCCTCCATTCCCAGCTCACAAATTTCATTGTTGGCTGACCTTGCCCTCTCTGGGCCTGCCTCTTTAAACCATGCATAGTCGTTCCTCCCCATGTCCCCCAGCAGTGTCACAGGCAGGTGAGATAAACCTCGACCTGCAGGCAGTAGTGAACACCTATTACTGAGGGGAGGAGGGGAGGAGTAAACAGGAGACCTGTTTCGTCTCTTCCCTGCATGGCTCTGGCCTCAAGGGAGAGGTGGTATTCTCACAAAGCAGCCCTCCCCTGCTTCCTGCCTAGAGCTTGTGACTCTGAGCCTCTCCCTCCCAGGGGTCACCCTTCCTGCACTGCCCCAGCCAGCCCGCTCACCCAGAGACAGAGCTTATACCTTGGTGCCGAAGGCTGTCGAGGAGAGGACTGAAGATACCCTGGTGAGACCGGCCATCCGGGTGAGTGAGCAGCACGTCCACATCACCACAGGTTGCCTTCCCCCGGCGGTAAGAACCACATGCCACACACAGCAGCCCGGGGTTGAAGACCTGAGCTGCTTCCCGGACCTGGGAAAGAGCGGGGGGGAGGGGAGGCAGCAGGGAGGGCCTGTGGGCCTCAAGCCCTGCATGCAGTTCCTCTCCCAGGGCAGCACAAGAGACTTCCCTGACCCAGAAGCCCACATGTCCAGCTGATGCCCCGAGCCAATCCCCGAAGGTGTGATACAAGCGAGGGAAAGCCTCAAGGAGCAGAGCCAGAAGTCTACCCTAGGGAATGGCAGTTCTCCAGCTTCACTAGGGTGGAAAAGAAAATGTGTTCCCACCACCAGATTCAGCCTGAAGAGCGAGCCAAGAGGCGTATACTCGGATTCTGAGGGAAGGCACTGATCTTTCCTCCTAGGGTTCTTTAAGAGCAGAAAGACACACCTTCTCTCGGCCCCTGCCCCGACCCATGTGCCCAGGTCTGTCCACTTAGGACAAAGGGCCAGATGCCTGGAAGCCCTCTGCCAGGTGTCAGCAGCCCCAGATATGGATCTAGAGCTAAAGGCAGAGTGTGTGAGTTGGGGCTTGAGGTCTGAGCAGGTGGCTAGCAGGGTGCCCCGGGCCCAGGTCTAGGGGGAAATGGAGCCCAGATATACAACTGTACCTACAATAAAAGAAAAGGAAAAAAAAGCCAAGAGGGAGGCAATTCTGAGCCAGTGCTCACACCCTTAGTTGGAGGAAGGAGGCTCAGGGCTTGGAGAGGGAGCCAAGAAAGAGGGGGCTGTCAGCTGAAGGATCATCCCTCACTGAGGGAAATAAGCCCATTAGCCTCTACCCCAGTGACATGGAAGCCTTTCGTATGCAGATGGCCTCCATGCCTTTACCCGGACACTGAGATTTCTGGGACCCTGGATACTTTGGCCAGGACACCTCAATTCTCCTGACAGGCCAGGCTCTGCTAATCCCCTCACTCCCTTCTTGAGCCTCCCAAGAGGATGGGAGGAGACCTAGGATGAGTAATCCCATCAAAAACTAAAGCTAGAGCTCTTCAATGCCATGTGGGAAGCCCCTTCCAATGGGCTGGGGGCTGGAGGCTCACCGGAACATTCTCCGTGCCTGGACACCATGGCTGAGTGACGGTGTCATCACTAGCACCAAGGCCTGGTGATGGATGGACAAAAGGGGCTGTCCATCCATCCTGTGCCATCCTTATAGTCCCATAGAGTAGAGCAGGGAGGCTGGAGGCCTGGAGTAGAGCTGGAGGCTGATTTCAACTAAGGTGGGCCAGGGTCTCCATACAGTCCTACTTATCAAAACCTGATTCCAAAGTAGCAAACCTTGCCCACAGCAACCAGCCCCTAAACCTGACACCAACTGAACAAATTATATATCTAACCCCAAGTATACACTAGTCTCTTTCTAATCTAGGTTTTATAGGAATTTAATTCCTAACCCAACTTTAAATCAAACCCTAATGTTGGCCAAATCTTATTTTTAGGACAACAAATCTTAACTAAAAGCATCCAATACTAAGAAAACCCTACTTTTAATTCAGGCCTAACCTTAATTCAACTCAACCTAAGCTTTCCTCTGACCCCAAACCTAATCATACTGGCACTGTGCTTCTATACCAACTCTAACCCAAACCCTGAACCAGCCTCAGGTTGTAGGGCGCTGGGGGGAGGGGGGGAGCCTTCAGAAGGTCTGCACATCTGGAAATAGATAACTTTGTACATCTGCACAAATTTTGGAGACAAAGAGTCCACAGTTTTCATTGGGTTCTCAGAAAAGTTTGTGACTCAAAGAACATTAAGAACCTCTGCCCTGACCCACCCTGACCTAACCCCGTTCAAACCCCAATATCCTCAAGTAGTTCTGACAGTAATCCGCCTCTAATCCCGCCCTAATGCCACTCTAGCATCTGAGCCAATGCTTACTCTACCCTAATCCAGAGACCTGGTGTTACAGCCCTTCCCGCCCACAGCCGCCCACACTTCCAGCTTCAGTCTCAGCTGGCCCTATCCCCACTGGTCCCAACCTCTGTCTCACAGCTTCCTCTGCCTGGCTCCCCAGCTGAGGGATCAGGTGTTGACTTCAAGCCAGGTCCTGACCTTATAGCAAGGCCTGGCTCTCCTCACCGCTCTGGGACAACTACTTACTGTCTGCTCAATCTCTGTAGCCTCCTCCCGGGGTATGCGTTCCAGGAAGTCATCATAATGCTTCAGGCCAATGGCCTGCTGGGTAGTCAGGGAGGCCTGGTTGCGGATGTCTTCTAGGGTCCGGAAGCCCTGGAAAAAACAAGCCAGATGAGGAGACTATGAGCAGCCAAGACCAATGGAGAGGCAGTGAACGAGCACATACACAAGGCTTCCATCACCCCCAGATTCCAAGGAAGGCCTGAGGCAGGATCAACCCCAGGAGTGGTTGGATCTGTAATCAGCGGGACTCAAGAAAGGTAGGGAGCATGGGAGACACACCCCAATCCAGCTCTGCCATGACCCTAAAATACTGGTTCATAAGTCCGTTGGTCTGGGGCATTCTGGGCATCACCAGGTTGGGGAACCATTGATCTGGATACTCAGCCTTTAGGCCTGATCTTCTCAGGAAGGCCCTTGCTAGTCTGGGAGACAGAGAAACACACTTCCTGTCTCTCTGCCTCCTTTGATTAATTCCTTGAGGCTATCAGGCAACAGGGCAATTCTTGAAAAGGGGTCTCCTTCTAGTCCTGGTTCATTCCCATCAGAGCACAGGGTATGAAAACTGGGGGGCAGGACCTCTGAGAAAGTAAAACCGAAGTGGGTGCTGGGACATGGTGTGACCTGTTGGTACCACATCTGGGCAGTTTTGGTTCCAGCTCCCCAGATGTTGGAGAAGAGCTCCAAGACAGGCACGCTATCACTGATATGGTCCAGCTTCCGCAGATGCCCGCTGTCCAGGATTTCTGCGATTTTCTCAGCCATCCGCCTTCCAATCCCGGGGATACCGAAGGCCTCCTGGGCGGGGGCAGGCAGAGGCAGGAAAAGCAGAGTGAGAAGATGGGAGGCATAGAGCCAGCAGTGGGTTAGCAGACTCCTTTAGCAGGTATCTGAGTAAAAGCCAGCTTGGCCAGTTAGCAGCTGATGGCTGTGTGAAGCCTGGGCACAAATGAAGATGAGAAGTTTGGATGGGACGGGCTGGGTCACTTGTCTTTTGGTTCTCAGAGGAATGGAGATCAGCACAGCAAGTAGAGAAAAGACAGCAGTGACCACACTAGTCACCGCTGTCATGGCAACAGCGAGAGCAGGGCATTCACTGAGGCCTTTCTGCGGATCAGGTCCCGCACTGCAGGGAGCATGGCATTTCGTCCTCCCAGGAGCACCTGAGTCTCTCACTAGTCTTAGTTCCTTTTCATTGCTCAAAGAGTTTAAGTAACTTGCCTAGAATCACACAGTTAATGAATGATGGGAACCAAAATTCAAACCCTGGTCTGTCGGCCTCCAGAGTAAACTTTTTAAAAACTTTTTACTATGGGAAAAATTCCCATAGTAGAGAGAACAGTATAATGAACCCCCACTACCCGTCAGCAGCTTCTATAATTATCAAGATTCTATCAATCTGCTTTCATCCATCTCTCCATTTTATTTCTTTTGTGCAAGTCTCTGACATCATAAAATCTTAAGCACTCCACCTGATCCCCACTTGTAACTGGGTGCCCAGTAAACAGAAAGCCCCCCATCTCCCCGCATCCCCTGCCCTGGCCCCCAGGTACCTGGTAGGAGGTGACAGGCTTGTGGAAGCTCTTGAGGGCATTGATGGCCTTGGCATAGCCCAGGGCCCTCCACTTGTCTCCCTGAACACTGTAGGCTTTGGCCAGCACTTCCAGCTTCTCTGTGAGGTGGGGGTTGTGGTTGATCGCCTTCTGGCTCGAAGGCTGTGCACAGACCCACTTATCCAGGCCCTTAGGGGCTGGACTAGGCTCACCATCTCCCTCAAAGGGAGTGGAGTAGTGACCGCTGATAAAGGCTTCCAGATCAGCTGCGCTAACCTGGGTCTCTTCCCCGTCACTGGTTTCATCATCATAGCCAGGCTTAAGGTAAGGAAAGAGAAGAGACAAGAAATTCATGCCCCCAGCGGCCCCCAGGAGAGGTCCTCAAAGGTGGGGGCTGGGTCTCCTAGTCAGACCCAGGAATGAGGCTGGGGTCTCCTTAACTGTGGGGCCCTGTTCATTTTGGCTTCCCCCAGTGCCCAGCCCTAGAATCCCCAGGGGTGTGTGGTAGATGTGGGCCTGGGCAAATGCAGATATGATGAGTGTTAGGCAGAGCCAGATGGCTTCACAATAAAGAGATCCTTCCTCTGTCAGGGGCCTGGGACTTTCTGAACAACCACCAGGCCCTCCCTGTTTCTGTGACCTAGTTCCCAGGGGAAGGGAGCTCTGAGGGCTGGGAGGCTCCTGACCTGGGCTTGGGTGCTCGGGGCCTCCTCCGTCTTCCAGGGAGGAGATACAGGCCTGGTGGGAGGGCGGGGAGGAGAGAGGGCTGTCCTGAGCACATCCTCATGGGCTCCAGGAGGCACAGAAAAGTCTTGGTCTGCCTTGCTGAGCTGTGGTTGGTCCAGGTACCTGCAGGGATGGTGATGGCAAGTTTAACACCCAAAGGCCTGGCCCTCCCTCTGCTCCCAATCTATTCTGAAATCTTGGTTTTCTAATGTGTCCAATTAAGACAATGAAAGTTATTTTTTAATAATCTAAGAAGAAAGCTCAAGATGCTGCCAGGAAGCACTTGAGGAAAGATAGAGGCCAGCTCACCTGTTGGGGATGCAGATGCTGAATCCTGCTGTGTCCACTAGCCTTTTCTCCTGCAGGCACAGGCTCAGCCAGGCCGACTTCACCAGCTGAACACCCTGGGGTAGCTGGGGCAGTCGAAGGAGGCGGAGGGCTCGCTCACAGTCCATGCCTTCATCCACCACAATGTGAGTGACCCCTGGGGCCTGGGCAGCGCATATCTGGCCACCATGCTTGATAATCTGCTTCTCAAATAGTTCTGCCCGGGCTCGCCCAATGCCACTGGGCACAACATGGGCCCGCAGGGAGCTCAACCACTCTGTGGAGGGGACATCCAGATGCCTATTGTCATAACTGTCAGATATAATCCAAACGAACCCTTTACAGTCCTGTGCCCCCAAACGATCATTTTTCTTCCATCCAGAGAGCCAGCCTTCTGGGGATTCTGATGCAAGCATACAGTTAATTTCCCCATGAACCATCACTTGATGTAACGGGCAAGGATTTCAATGTCCTGTTCCCTCATGTAACCTAGAACAGTGTAAACACTGCTAGAGCACATTGTAGGTATCCTGTATATCGCTTCCTTTGATCATTTATTCTTTCAAGTATTAATAGACACCTACCTCTGCACAAGGCATAAGGCACATATGACTTGCCATTACAGGCCTCATCGTGTAAGAGCTATTCCCCTCCCCTCCCCGCCACATGAGCTGTTATTTGTCAGCTTGGCTGCAAAATAACGTAGCCCTGGGGACCTGAGTCTCCCACGCCCCCATCCTTCTTCAGGGAACCTCCTGGAGAGCAAAGGATTCTGCTGGTCATTTCCTTAGGGACCAGAGAGTATTTTCTGACTGATGGAGGTCTAGGGGTAGGATAGAAAAGAACACAGCAAGTGGCCTGTCAAAGACTGGGCCCAAGCCTAGTGCAACGAAGATACAAACCAACCCGCAGGCCATGGACTGGCAGAACCAGTTCTAATATCTGATTTTGGACATAAACAATATAGGAAGCTTGAGGGTTCAAGTACGTGAGGGTTCTGAGGGTAGATCTGCTCACCTCCTGCTTCTTCTCCACCTTCTTGCTTGGGAATCTTTGTAAGTGCTTTTGATGATGGATTGGCATGAATTTTCCTCCGCTTGGGAAATGCCTTCAAGATGCCCCCAGGGTCCATTGAGGTATGGCCAGATCACGGCCTTATGGTTTTAGGATTGATCAGGGCAACTGTCATGTGGAAACCCAGAATTGAGGTTACCCAACCCTTTGCCTATGGAGGTGGGCGTCTCTAATGACCAGGCTTTGGGGGCAGTAGTTCAGTCCCTGGGGGTCTCCCAAAACCCAACTGAACTTAAGCAGTTTAGCATAGCACTTACCAGCCCTTCAAAGTCAGAGTACTGGGGGAAATAAGGGGAAGAATGGGACTACTGGGGAACTCTTGAGGGGTACAAAATGATACTCCCCAGAGGAGTTGCTCTAAAGATTCAGTGCAGTGTCTGCCCTGCTGCAACCGACTTTGAAAGGGCTTTACCAAAAGGGGATGCCAGGCTAGGAGATGGAGCTACATCTTTAGAAAGGGCTTGGGCTCCCAAGAGAATTGAAGGACTGAGAGGACTCCACATGATCTTTCTCTACCCCATCACAGACCCGCAGAGGAAACCCTGGTGGTGGCGGGTGTTCGGGAGGCAGGGGAACGCTCTACACCTGCCCGGTGGCAGGCCTCTCGTCACGGGAGTGCTCAGCCACGCAGCTGCGGGGAGATGGGGCATGGCCGCAGCAGGTGTGGGGCGCCTTCCGAGCCTGGGGGAGTCTCGGCCTCACAGCTGGGGGCGAAGACAACCGGCAGCTGTGGGGCACCTGCCGCGTCTGCAGCTGGCGCGCGCCAGCGACTCCCAGCTGGGGACCAGAGGAGGGCTGGACTGTCCGGACCCTGCCCTAAGGGCCCCTCCCCGCCGCGGCGATTCGGTCCGCCGGGGCGGGGGGTCAACTTCAGGCCCCTCGGGTCACCCGCGGGTGGACAGGAGTCAACCACTTACCAGAGCAGCCAATGAGAGCGGACGAAGGGCGTGGCGGGTGGGAAGGGGGGGAGGGCAAATGCCCAGAACACCTTCCGGGTCGGCCGGAAGTGATCGTAGGCGGAATGGTTGCCATGGCAGCGGCTGGTCGCACGGCTGGGCGGAGGGAAGATGGCGGTAACCGGCTGGTTGGAGAGTGTGCGGACCGCCGAGAAGACGGCGCTGCTGCAGGACGGTAACTCGAGGCCCCTACGAGTTCCCTAGTCCTTTCCCCCAGGGTCCAGCCCTCCGCGCTGGCGCCTCCGCGAAGGGCCTCCGAGCCTGGGACGGCCAAGCTGGAAGGGCCACGGCTGCCAGACTAGGCCCAGTACTGTATTGGCAGATGAGGAAACTGAGGCCCGGAGAGATGACGTGACTGGAACACGCGTCTCTGGATACCTCCTAGTTTCCTCTACACCACTTCGCCCCGCTCTGAGTTCTGTTACTAATAAATATTAACTCCTTTCATATTCGTTATGTCGTTTGCTCCCGACAGCTGTCCCAAGAGGCTGTTAATTTTCCACCCCATTTTAGAGAAGAGGAAACTGAAATGAAAGAGGGTTTTAGACCAGCCCTAGCCCCTTGTCCAGTCAGTGGGGTTCTGTTGCTGAACGCAGCCTGGCGTAATGAAGAGGCTGGAGACCTGGGCTCTAGTTACTACTCTGCCATTAAGTCACAGGCTCTTTACTTGCTCGGGCCTTATTTTCCTCATCTGTAAAATGAGCTGGAGGGGCTACCTCTGATGTCCTTTCCAGCTGTAATATGTCTGTAAGTGAACTTCTAAATGTTCCCTGGGGTCTGTAGGGAAAACAGCAAGGGTCGCAGCGCTGTGCCTGGAAAAGGTGGGCATAGGGGGTAAGGAGTCCTGATTTTGTCTCACCCTAGGATTGACGGATGTAGGACCCCCAGTGCTGCAGGGGTCCTTTCCTTGCACCCACTGGCAGCCAGATGAATTAGGTCTAAATTCCTGTAGCTTGTAGACCAGCTGGAGGTGCACATCCACAGGCAGAGGCCAATCAGGGAAGCATGGAAGTTAAAATCACCTGCTCATTTGTTCATTCATTCACGCAGCATTTAAGGAGGCTTTTACTATGTGCTAGGCTGTGTACTAGAGCAGAGAGGGGGAAAAAAGATATGTAAATAAATAAGAGTGGGTGTTAAGTAGAGGTTGGAATCTTCTATAAACTGTATGAGGGCACGAAGATGGGAATGATGGTCCCTTTGAAAGAAGATCTGACAGAAAAGGTGATGTTTATGGGTCCTAAAGAATTAATACGTGTTTGCTAAGTGTGGAAGAGGGAATGACCCACGTGTAAAGAAAGGTATGGATTTGTGGAAGTATATGGCTGATTACTAGGGAAATAACTACATTTAGTGAGGCTTAAGCATTCCCCCAAACAACTCCCCACACTGTCAGGTACTAGGTGCTAGGATGCAAGGGTGAATAAAAGTTCTCTTTTCTCAGGGAGCAGTGAGGAGAAATGGTGGGAAATGAAGAGGGATTTTGGATAAATTGGGGTATGCTGTGATCTCCTTTGCCAAGCTAAAGATTTTGGACATTTTCTCATAGGACTGTGGTTTCTGGTTTTATGGTAAAAAATAGATAACCTAGAATTTACCATTCTTTTTTTGAAAGATTTTATTTATTTATTGACAGAGACACAGTGAGAGAGGGAACACAAGCAGGGGAGGAGGGGGAGGGAGAAGCAGGCCTCCCACGGAGCAGGGAACCCAAAGGAGCAGGGAACCCAATGCGGGGCTCGATCCTAGGACCCTGGGATCATGACCTGAGCCGAAGGCAGACGCTTAACGACTGAGCCACCCAGGCACCCCTAAAGATTTTATTTATTTATGTGAGAGAGAGAGAGAGAGAGCATGAGAGCGGGGAGGGTCAGAGGGAGAAGCAGACTCCCCGCCGAGCAGGGAGCCCGATGTGGGACTCGATCCTGGGACCCCAGGATCATGACCTGAACCAAAGGCAGTTGCCAACCAACTGAGCCACTCAGGAACCCCTAGAATTTACCATTCTAACCATGTTTAAGGATGCAGTTCTGTGGCATGAAGTATATTCACATTGTTGTGCAACCATCAGCACCATCCATCTCCAGCACTTCTTCATCTTCTTCAACTGAAACTTTGTACCTGTTAAACACTAACTCCCATGGCAGCGGCTGGCAACTACATTTCTCAGCCTCTGGCAACTACAATTCTACTTTCTGTCTTTATGAATTTGATTATGGCAGGAATGTAATCACCTAAGTGGAGTCATACAATATTTGTCCTTTAGTGACTGGCTTATTTCACTTACCATCCACTTATTTCACTTCAGTGTCCAACTGTGTTGTATGTATCAAGGCTAAATAGTATTCCACTGTTTGTAATCATACACCACATTGTGTTTATCCATTCATCTGTTGATGGACACTTGGGTTGCTTCCACTTGTGTAGCTATTGTGAATAATCATGCCGTGAACATGGGGGTACAAATATTCAAGTCCCTGCTTTCACTTCCTTTGGTCACAGGATGGTAGCTAAACAAATATTTCATCATCTAGGATTTTGTTAGGTTTTTTTGTTAGTGGCATCACAAAACAATGTTGTTGGTCTTTCTTCCCCAAACCAAATAATAATAATAATGTTAAATGTATGGATACGTCTTGTGAAACCTCTCATAGATTTACCCTCCTGATGGGTGTGTGGCTGTGAGGAGGATGTTACCTCCCTCCCACAAAAAAGCACTGCTATTGGTAATAAGAACCCAATACTCCAAATTTTTTCCAGAAAGAATTTATGCTTGTTGTGGAAATATGAAAAATAAGTGAAATCACCCATCAACTACCATCTAGAGATCATCATAATTTACTTTTTATTTTATTTATTTATTTATTTTTTTAAAGGGAATAGAATCTCCTATAGTAGGAATTGTTCTTTTTTTTTTTTAAGATTTATTTATTTATTTTGAGAGAGTGAGAATGAGAGAGAGAGAGAGAGTGTACATGAGAGGGGGGAGGGTTAGAGGGAGAAGCAGGCTCCTCGCTGAGCAGGGAGCCCGATGCGGGACTCGATCCCGGGACTCCAGGATCATGACCTGAGCCGAAGGCAGCCGCTTAACCCACTGAGCCACCCAGGCGCCTCATAATTTACTTTTTAAAAAAATATTTTCTTTATTAGAGCACAAACAGGGAGTATGGCAGAGGGAGCGGGAGAAGCAGGCCCCTGGGGAGCAGGGAGCCCGATGTGGGGCTCGATCCCAGGACCCTGGGACCATGACCTGAGCCGAAGGCAGACATTTAATGACTGAACCACCCAGGCGCCCCCTAAATAAAAATCTTAAAAAAAAAAAAGGAAAAGAAAATGGGGCGCCTGGGTGGCTCAGTCATTAAGCATCTACCTTCGGCTCAGGTCCTGGTCCCGGGGTCCTGGGATCGAGCCCCACATCAGGCTCCCTGCTCCGTGGGAAGCCTGCTTCTCCCTCTCCCACTCGCCGCTTGTGTTCCCTCTCTCGCTGTGTCTCTTTCTGTCAAATAAATAAATAAAATCTTTTTAAAAAAAGATTTTTATTTAGTATTTTAGAGAGAGAAAGAACGAATGGGGGGAGGGGCAGAGGGAGAGAATCTCCAGCAGACTCCCTGTAGAGCCCAATGCAGCGCTCCATCCCACAACCCCACAACCCCGAGATCATGACCTGAGCTGGAAACAAGAATTGGATGCTCAACTGAGCCACCAGGCACCCCCATAATTTATATTTTCATGCATAAACTTCCATATTTCTTCCATGCATGTACACTCATACATGTATTTTTTTTTTTTTTTTACCAAAGTATACTGATTGTTTATTATTGGGGCACCTGGGTGGCTCAGTCGTTAAGTATCTGCCTTCGGCTCGGGTCATGATCCTGGGATCCTGGGATCAAACCCCGCATCGGGCTCCCTGCTCCGCGGGAAGCCTGCTTCTTCCTCTCCCACTCCCCCTGCTTGTGTTCCCTCTCTTGCTGTCTCTCTCTCTGTCAAATAAATAAATAAAATCTTTAAAAAAAATTATCCACGTATATACATATACATATATTCCTGTAGAGTAAATATGTATTAGAATAAAGTACAGATAATTATTATATAATCTTCGGGTAAGGGAGGATATTCTGAGCACAACTCTGGGTAGTAACTACAAAGGAAAAAATAGTTGACTATATAAAAATTAAATGGTTAATATCATAAAGGTCAATCAGATTAGCAAGAAAAAGATGAATACACAAATAAAATATGCTAAGGTCTAAACAGGCAATAATTCACTAGAAACATGACCAATAAACCTTTGGAACAGTGTTCAACCTTACAAATATTTAAAACTATAGACATCATCCTAGTATGGTTATTAGAGCATGGAATTTGGCCTCAAATGAGCTTAAGTCTGGGTCTGTCCTTTCATAGCTTTATGAGCTTGGACAAGTTACATGACCTTTAAGCCTCAGTTTCCCTCATTTGTAAAATACGGGTAATGGGGGCAGATAGGATTATTTTGAGAATTAAATTCAATAAAACACATAAAATGCCTAGCCAGTAGTAAGCACTGCATCCTGCCTGGACTCAAGATGGACTCCAGGGGGAGAAGAGGGTCAGGCCAGACACCTTCACCTACTCACAGGCAGCACCTTTTACCCCACTCCTGACAGGAAAACCCTTTCCAGCTCTATTAGCCATCCAAATGATTTAGGGTGCTGAGAAGCCCTGCAAATTTGGAGATGAGTTTCCCCAGAATACAAATTAGGAATGACTCAAGGGAACTGTGTCCAGGGGAATGAATTAAATGGGAAAAAGTCTTGGTAGATCAGATACAGTTGCAAATTTTAGGTAGTGACTCCTTTAACTGCTCCTTGGAGCTCTTATTTATCAAGTGTATGTTGGCTACCTGTCCTTGTTATTAGGCTCACTGAGGAGCCTATCTATGTCAACTCACCCATTTGTAAAAATAGGGGAAATTAAGTAGTCACTTTAAAAAACAATACTTACGATTATAATATATAGGTGGAAGAGTTGGGCTAGGAAACTCCCCTGGATTCTTGCATTCTTTCAATGAAAGTTGAATCAATGTTCATTCTTCCAATTAATACTTAGTTGAGCTCCTAACATATGCCAGGTACTATGCTTGGTGTTAGGGAAACCATAGGGAAGCAGGATAAAACCCCTCCTATCTAATAGAGACAGGCGATAATCAAAGAATCACACAAATGTAAATCCTAACAGAGGTAAGTGCCATGAAGAAAACATAAGAGGACTAACATTATGTGGCTGTGTGCTAGGAATGGCCTAGAGACATGCAGAAGGCACAGCAATGGTGTGGCTAGACGGAGTGCTTGTTCAGGAAACCCAGTTCAATATCCTGAGCACATAGGCTTGGTTTTAGGAACTGGGGAGACAAAGATAAATATGGCACTGTTCCTGGAGGGAGGATGCTCTTTAAAAAAAGTACCATACTATATGATAAATGCTCCACTATGGATATGAATAAAGCACTAGGGAGGCCCAAACAAATAAGGAAGTGATGAATTTTGCCAGGGTGGCTAAAGACTTCCCAGTGGAGTGACATTTGAGCTGGATTTTGAAGGGCAAGGAGTTCAACAGATGAGAAAAATTATGGAGCTTTGCAAAGACACGTTCAGAGAAAGCTGCAGAAAGGAAAGGCGTCCCGGGACTTGTCTTAAAGTAGTGGTGGGCAATGATTGGTAAGAAGTTCATGGGAGGGTTTCTCATGCCCAAGCCCAAGGCTGTTGGTATTTCCCAGGTAGATCCCTTGATGTGCAAGGCGCAAGGTAAGAAGAGGCGTGAAGGTAAGGCACTCTCTGCTTTGTGCGTAGGGAGAAGGAAGGTGCACTATTTGTTCCCAGATGGAAAGGAAATGGCCGAAGAATATGATGAGAAGACGGGCGAACTACTTGGTAAGTGACGGGGGCTTCCACTGGGCTCGTAGGAACACTTGGGGTGTCCTAAAGCATGGGTAAGCAATTCTAGCCTGAGGCTTGCGGGAGGAACTGAGCACCAAAGGTGGAAGCCAGGGGAGACTGAGGCCCTCAAGGCAAGATTGTTCCTGAGAATAATGTGAGGTTAGGGCTGGCCACCAGGGGTGGAGTGGACATCTGCTTGGGGGGTAAACTCCACCAGACCCCTAGATCAGTGAGAGTGTGAGGAAGTCTTCTATAGGGAAACTGCTGGGATAGAACTGTAGAGAGAGGGGCGCCTGGGCGGCTCAGTCATTAAGCATCTGCCTTCGGCTCAGGTCATGATCCCAGGGTCCTGGGATCGAGCCCCGCATCAGGCTCCCTGCTCCATGGAAAGCCTGCTTCTCCCTCTCCCACTCCCCCTGCTTGTGTTCCCTCTTTGGCTGTGTCTCTCTCTGTCAAATAAATAAATAAAATCTTAAAAGAAAGAAAGAACGAACTGTAGAGAGAGGGCAGAATTGGAATTGGGCCTCTACTCCAGGCTGAGTGGGTAGAGGTAAGGGCAGGCTTTAACTGCAGTTGTTTTGCTTGTTTTGCTTGTTTGTTTGTTTGTTTGTTTTCTGAAGCCACAGCCGCAGCAGGTACTGGTCCGGTCTCAGAGGCCGCACTGTTAAATCTGACCCTTGCCTTGGAAAATGTCTGAATCAAAGGGGGTCCTGAGTAGAAATGGGGATTTTGCAACATTGTTGTTTTCATTCCTGCAGCTCTTTTCCTCTAAGACTAGTCTCATGAATAGGGGCTCCAGCTCAGATTTCTGGGAATTACTTGATTTGTCCATCCTCTGTGCCCAGGTATGCACATCAGCATTAACGGACTTCCCAGAGCTAGGTGGCTGCTGATTTGACCCAGGACCTGGGGCTCTCAGCAGTGGGAGTTGGTCTCTTTATTAAGTTCCACCTGAAATGCTAAATCCGATGGTGGAATCATGGCTTGGGTTATTTTCTTGTCATTATTCTTGACTTTAATTTCTTCCTGGGCCTGATCGACAGGTAGTATTGGCAAGGGAATTTCTTTTTCCCTTTTTCTGACAGCTCATAAATGTCTAGAACCGACAACACGGATTACACTGGTTTGCATTTTCTTAGTCTCCAGTCTTAAAATGTGTGTCCTGCGCATGTTCAGTTGCAGAGTGAAGTGTTGATCCGTCCTTATTATGAGCTGCTTGGGTTCCAGTCCCAATTGGTTTAGTCTGGTGCTATTAAAAATCTTGATTTGTTTAGCATATGACGCTGATTTGGTGGAAACCAATACAGTAGTAATATCCTCACAATGCATTGTAATTTATAGCGCTCCCAGGGGGTGACAGCCTTGGAATGCCTAACAGGGGCGAGCTTATGAAAGCAGAGGTCACGTGGGCTAAGCACCACCATTGCCAGGCCAGTTCCTTCCTGCAGCCCCCAGCACCACCTCTCTCCTCCACTCAGAGCAAATAACCCACCTAGAGCTGCTGTGGCCATAAAAACAAGCAAACAAATAACCTCTTGCCTCTTAGTTGTGCTTGGACATGAAATTAAAATGAAAAACAAGTTTAGGTACCTTCCTCTGTAGCATCCTGCATTAACCTGTCACTTCTCTTGGCAGATGGGGAATAGACAAGGGCCTACAAACTCCTTTTTTTCTTAAAAGCAGAAATGGAGATTGATAGAACACTGGCTAAAGTTTACCTAATAGTGATATTAATACCATAACTTTTATTAGGCACCGTGCTAAGTGCTTTATAGGAGTTATCTCACTGAATCATCCTCATTACAGCCTGGTGAGGTACGCACCGTTGTCCCCTTTTACAGTCAGAAAAAAATGGAAGCTCTAAGAGGTTAAGCCCCTTGCTCAGAATTCCAGAGCTGGTTAGTTTCTGAGTTAGGATTTAAGTCTGAGTCTGCCTGGTTAAGAGCCCATGCTATGATGCACAACAACATACTGTTGGGAGTTGAGAATATTTAATCCTGCTCTCTGTTCTTATTAAACTTTGTTCCCCCCAGAATGACTGGAGAAGGGGCTGGCGGGAGCAGGACAGAGAAGGGCAGACAGGAGCACCCCACTTGAACCCCGGGGCCTTCTCTTACTGGTCTCCGACTGCTCCGCCCTGCCCCCGCCAGCTGCCCTTGCAAAATTATTAATTTTTAAGTATAAACAATCTCGGCCTGAACTAACATGAGCTCAAGCACTCTCTGAAGTAAAATACAGACAGGGTTGTGATGGCCACAAATGGGAATCGTTTCCATTTTTCCAGCTAACTATACAAATTTGATAATTGGCTAAACTGGTTTTCTGTTAGAGAAACCCAGAAAGTAATTTGCCAGTGGTGCATCTGTGTAGCATGGAGTTCTTCCAGTCGGTGTTAAGCATAGTGGTGTCATATTTTTTTTTTCAACAGTCTCAGTGCTATTCGTTCCCACCCCGCACAATGAGTGCTGTATGTAGTCATAGGGGGAAAACCTGAAGGGCCCTGTAACAATGATCGGAACATCAAACCAGCCCCAGAAGGACACAGCATGTCCAGGGGGGCAGAGGCTGAAGGGCAGGCCATCCCCCATTGTTACATTCGGATTACCTTGGATTACCGGCTTAATCTGCTTTGGTATTTGACCGCCAGCCTAACCACCCCAGGCTGCATTTGGAGGATATTGAGCACTTTCATCCCCAAGCACTTCACTGGCTTTATAAATGACCCACTCGATTCCCTTCCGCCTCCTCAGGGATGGGACGCGGCAGCTGTTTAATAGCCACAGAGCAATGTTGCAGTGTTTTAGGGCAGAAAAGAAGAATCCTGCATCCAGTTTAAGCTGCAAGGCGTATTTAGGAAAGGGGAATGTAATTATCCACATTGGAAGCAGGCCACAGCTTGGAGCTTTGGGGAAAGAACCTGTAGGACCCCCACTTTCCAGCCCACCTGAAAGATGGGGCTTCCTTTCAGCAGTCAAGGACATCAGCCTGCTTCCTGCTGACTCAGGAAGAAGCCCCCAGGCACTGTCTCCTTCACAAACTCCCCATCAGACCCCTTGGGGTCATTGAGAGGCTCCTTTCCAAGGACTGGCCCTGGCTCAGCCAGGATACAACAGCGTCCCAGGGAGCTACCCTCCACACACCAGTTTGGGTTTAACATATAATCAAATCAGAGTGACAGCAGGTGGAAACAGCCCTCTGTTGCCGCAGGAACTGTCCTTGAGTTAGGAACAAAGACAGGACAAGACAAGACAAAGTATGTATTTGCACGTGTGCATTCATGCCCATATACATGGGGAAAATAATAAGGACTTCACCAAAACCGTTTATTGGATCTTATAATGGAATGAGTAGGGAGACTTTCTTCTACATTCTAGCAAAGAATTTAATCCCAAGGTGTTTAAAAAAAAAAAAAAAAAAAAAGGTGGTGAAAGAGCCAGAAGGCTGGCCTCCAGTTAAGCGAGGTATTACACGAATAGATTTGGATATACTCCCGGTCACAGTCCATTCACTTAAGAGAGTAGAAGTATTTGTGAAAAAAAAGTTGCCTGTAAAGCATATTTCCAAGTTTTACTCTTCCTTATTAATTTTCATTATAAACTTGGAAATGTGTTTCTAGGGAGAATTTTTGGCCCTAAGACGTAATAAAATCACACTGCAGAATGCAGCAGACCTTATAAAAGCACATATTCAAGGGGAAATTCTAATTTTACAGTACACTTTTGTGTTCAGCTTGCGTGCCTTACTTGGAGCAGGGAGGGTGTTTGGGTTTGGCACAGCGGCTCCAAAGGTCTCGAAGAAACCCATCCTGAGACTCCGACTCCAGGTCTCACCCCCCAGCCCAGAAAGAGGAGTGGCCGGGAGCACCTGCCGCACAACACCAGGCACTTTTTGACCTTGTAGCTCCTTACAACGGCTTCAGGAAGGCTGCTGGCCTTTGGTGGCACTTAGGCTGCCCTCCTAGAGGACATGGATGCTTCAGGAAGAGAGAGAAGCCCTGGGATTACAGCTCGGAGGGGGTGGGGGGCAGGGAAGGCTCCCTGCTGTGATGGCTGCACCCGGAGGACATGGATGACTGGGGTTCCCAGAATCCTGGCAGGGGTCCTCAGATAATGCCCACTGAACTAATTTTTTCACTTACAATTGCCATACCGTATGCACCTTACTTGGGGGCGGGGGGAGCTTCTGTAAACATGTGGGTTGTAAACCAAGGTAAAATAGAGACAATTGTTTGCATTTTAAAAGAATGATCCTACCCTACAAAAAATATTCACATGAGATATTCTATAAATAATGCATTTAAAATCCGGTATGTGCCTAACATTTTGTTTAAATACAATTCTGGGGCTGTTGTTTTAAGCCAGGTATACCTGAAATGAGTGAATTTCTGTATTTGGGCTTTCTAAATCATGAGACAAATCTGCCTGTCAGCTTTCATCTTCTTATTTTTCCTTTGCACATTTGTAGAGGGAAAAAAATGCATCTCAGTTCATACTTGTTGGGATCCAAATGTTCCCCGTTACCAGTAGCTCCCCTTTTCCTAACCAGCACATCTCTCCCTTGCTTGAAATCACACCTGGAGGATTCTTAACTCCACTTGGCTCCTTTCAGAGCTTTGTTCAATCCCTTTGGTTTGGGTACCCGTGATACGGGCTTTCCAGGTTATCCAGTATCAGAATGCTCTGCTGGGCTTTGGGCTTTCGGCAGCTGGGAGGTCCTGCTCACATGGACAGAGCTGGTGTAAAGGCCATGCCCCGCCCACTTCTCTCCCCTTCCCGTCATCTAATGTGATTTAGCAGGAAGAGAGTCCCTTCCTTCCCAGTAATCCCATTGCTTCCTTCTCTCCCCAGTGAGAAAGTGGCGAGTGAAAAGTGCCTTGGGAGCCTTGGGCCAATGGCAGATTGAGGTGGGAGAGCCAGCACTCCCAGGCACAGGGAGCCTGGGGTCTGAATTCATCAAGGAAGACAATGCCAATGTATGTCTATCTGTTAGGTGTTGGGGAGGGGGTGGTGGGAGTGGGCCTGGAGGGCAGACACCATGTCTTATTCACCACCTTGTCTCCCATGTGCCCACCTGGACACACAACTCTGGAAGTGTTTGCCTGAATGAATACCCATACTTGGGTATGGTCATCCTTGAATGAATGAATGAATGAATGCTTGGCTTGGTCATCCCAGGACAAGGGCTCCAGACCTGGAATGTCACAGCAATAGCATTGTCAGGGGGGAGCTGTGGGAAGAAGGGCTGAGGGTCTCCTGTTGTGGGCCCCGGGTAGAGCTTTGCAGAGCAGGAAACCATCCCTTGCTGGCCCTCACCAAGAGCAGTCTCTAAGTTGGATTTGCCTTCTGCAGCCCATCTTCATGCGCAAGGACACCAAGATGAGCTTCCAGTGGCGGATTCGAAACCTCCCCTACCCTAAGGACGTCTACAGTGTCTGTGTGGACCAGAAGGAGCGCTGCATCGTTGTCCGAACAACCAACAAAAAGTAAGTGGCATGATGGGCACCTGCCGGCCTGTGGGAGGGCTTTCTCTCTGCAGGATCAGCTTGAATAATGTAATCAGCTCCCTCAGGGCAGGAAATTGGAACAAGGAATGTCTGGTCCAGTAACTGGCACATACTAGGGTTCAACAAATATTTGTTGAATGAGGGGATGAGGAATCACCTGGCCATTAACTTGTGATCGTAGGTGGTTCTGCTGTAAGATTATTACCTTGACCCCCTGGCTGGATCCAGTCCATGGTGAACTTGGCCTGGTGACATCACTGTTGGGGCTGTCAGGGAGCCATGGCCTAGAAGGCACACCCAGCTGAGGTGGCAGTTAGAGGTCTTAAAGTACTGGTCTGGGTTTAGCCAACCTTATCCCGCCCGGGACTGAGAGGCAGTAGGCAGGTACTTTGGCCTCCTGGAAGTCTCTTGCGTTCTGTTTCAGAAGGGGTACCTAACTTCCCTTTATTTCTCTCCTAGTGTTCTGCTGGGGGCAGGCAAGGGGAGAGGGGACAGAAGGTGGCCAAGGAGGAGATATGGTCCAGGCAGGGCTGTTTCTGGGCTGACCATCTTGGAAATGCATTGATCCTATTTAGATTTCCACAGCTCTGACTGATCACAGGAGAACCCTGTTAACGAGCTGGTCTTGACCTGGGCCAGAGGGATTGCAGTATAGGACCAATCCCCATGAAATACAGTTGAGGTGTTAAAATGGAAGGTTTTATGAGTGACTGGTCCACACACTGAAGCCACCCAACATGCCTCGTGGGTGCTGAGCTTGGGCCAGAAGTGCCGCCATCCATCCACTTGTTTATGTGCAGTCAGGAGGACCCGGCTCCTTGTCCAGCTCCTCGAGGGGTGTGGTGCCACCTCCCCTCCCAGGTCCCTCAGGTCCACGAGGCCCACAGGAAAGCAGCACAGCTCCCAGGCTCCCCCGGCGCAGCCTTGGGTTCTGCCCTCTGCGTATGACCCCCGTACCCTCTCACTTTGGCAGGGTTAAGGGGATGGGGAAGGGGTGGAGATGAATGAATTAATTTCAAGATTATTGCTCTTCATGCAGCCAGCAGCCCCTGCAGTGGGCCTTGTCTATAAATATAAAGTCATAATAATAAGGGTTTGCGTTTATAAAGCACTTTGAAGCCCTCAGATAAAAGGCAGTTTATTCCCGTTATTGTTCTCATCATTAATGGCAGTCAATGCCTAAAGTGGAATTTAGCAATTTCAGACAACAGAGAAATTGCCTTTAGGAAAACAAACTCTGTGCTTCAGCAAGCATTCCCTGGCGTAAGAGGCCCTGGGTCCAAACTGGGAACAAAAGTGCTTCTGATAGCACTTGAATCTGCAGCCTAGCAGTTTGTAGAGCTGGCTGCTGCCTCCCTTTTGTCCCCCAGAGGTCACTGTCGAATACAGATATCAGGCAGAAATGTGATTACTGGGGAGTGAGAGAAGAGAGGCCAGCTAGCTCACCAAAAAATTCATCTGCGGGCAGATCCTCTGGGTCCCATCTGCTGCACATATCCAGCTGTAGGCGGCGCTGTTGGCCAGGAGCAACATGGCTAGAGGCCCACTCCTGCGCTCAAGGCAGCGGGAGACATTTTCGAACTGATGGGTGAGGCTTGGTGGGATGGAGTAATGCCCCTAGGTGGGACAGGGCCAGGGCTGGATCCCCACAGAGGGGAGAGGAGTATGAGTGCCTGCTTCGGAGCCCGCACTGAGCCTCTGGTCCAGTGGCCCTGCCTGGCTCAGCCCAGCCTTCCTCAGGTCCCTCTGCCCAGAGGTAGGAGAGAAAGGCCACTAAACCTTTAACCGGCTCTTTCTTGAGCTTAGTGGCATTTTCATCTCCTACCAGGGGCAGTGATGTGTCTTATACCTTTACTACCACTAATTAAACAACTCGGTGGTTATTCTTTTGAGCAGGATACTCGGTTTTTTTCAGGATACGTTAAAGATCTGTTTTCTGATTGTCACACCATCCAGTGTTGGGCAGGGTACATATTTTCATTCTTGTGTTATATTGTAATGATTATATAAATGTGTCTGTAAAGTCAGTGTGATGAGCTGACTTGCAAAGGGAAAGTTAGCGGCAGTCTAGCTGCCCAGACATCTGCAGTATCCACACCGTGGCGTCTCTCTCTGATTTGCCTTCTTCCATTACCTACTAGTTCTGTGCCTGCCCGAGTTCTAACATTCTGGAATGTGGTTACTAGTAAAAGCCAACATTCCTTTGTCCATACCTGCCTTGTCCCTGAAGGACTGGGTTGGTCACTTTTCTGGAAAGGATTGATTCCAGTGTATCATGTCCTTGGCCTCATGTATTAGTGAGGGGATGAATCAGGGAAGAAAGTGCTTTTCTAGGATCCCAGTGTGGTACTGCCTGTTCCTGGTAAAGAGTGTGCCTCAGACTAGAAGCTGGCAGCCATAAGTGGAATGGACCAGGGCACTGGAGTGGAAGGGGTTGGCTTAAATCTGGCCTCTGCCACGTAATAACTGTAGTATTTTGGGCAAGGCTTCCTCACACAGGAGAATAGTCATACCCACCTCACAGACTGTTTGGGCAATTTGATGAAATCGTATGTATACAAACGTCCGGCACATGGCCGGCCTGAAGCATGTCTTTAGCAATTCTTCAGAAATTAGAACTTGGCTAATTTGACACTGGTAACATTAACACTGGGAGGTGTTAATAGGCATCACTAGAAAAAAAGGATTCCGCAGTCAAATAAATTTAGGGAACTGGATTAAACAAGTTCTCTCTGGTAGGACGTATGGCGGTTTTAGTATGTGAACGTGCATTGTGAGTCCAAGAAGGGCTGCGGTAGGCAGGGATGACTGGCTTGCCTGGAGCTGTGATGTTAAAGAAGGAAGGTTTGCCTACTGCTTTTCTAAGGGCGGGACTGGCCAGAGGCTTCTCGGGCCCAGTCTTGCCAAACCCACGTGCGGGTGTGCAGGGCGCCCCGGAGCTGTGTGGGGCGTGGCCCGTGTGACTCTCCACAGCGGTCCTGCTTCTGCTTTTCAGCCTCTCCTCCGAGTCTGTCTCTAGAGGCCTGGCCTCTTGTGTCCTTTCTCAGTTCACTGCAAAGACTCGGTCGGGAAGCGACTGGAAATTGGGAAGAGGATAGAGCGGGAGAGCGGTGGGGTGCTGTGGGTCATTTCTCAAGTAGCCCAAGGGAAGGAGCCACCCTTTCAGCACAGTTTGGGGGGAGGTACAGAGTTGGCCTGTTCTGGTCCCTTTGACAGCGACTTAAAGTTCATCTCGTTCATCTAGTTCGGTGACCAAAGTTCATTCAGCTCCTTTATTGGAGGAAGGCATCTGGAGGAAGAAACTGGGGCCCAGAAATGAAGTGGCCTGCCCAGGGTCACAGGCCAGGACCAGAGTTGTCCTGAGAGCCTTTGCTTTCCCATGTCTTTCAAACACTTTTGACCATCAGAAAGGAAAGCCACTGTGTTAGAGTGCCCGGAGGACCTGCAGGGTGGTTGGATCCTTAGGGAGATCCCCCCATATCTGCTCCGTCCTTGGACAGCAGGGAACCTAGACCACAGGGGTCTGTTACTTGGAGGAGAGGGTGTGGAGAGATGGAGGGTCAGGAGGTTTGGGGAATTATTACTTGTAATAAGGGCTTCTCCACCGACCAGTTTCGTGACTCCAGCAAGATACCTATCTGTTTCTCCGTTTTCTCTTTTGTAAAAGAGGATAATAGAAGCAACCAGCCTGAGTGGGTTGTTTTGAGGATTCGACGTGTGTGGAGCAGTGCCTGGTCCCACTAAGCATTAACAAATGTCCCCTTTCATTGTGTGACTGAGGCTGAGACTAGTAGTAGGAGATGGGAACAGGGGAGTGTCACGTGTCTGCCAAAAGCCCAGGAACCACTGCACTATGAGGGCCTCGCTTTTAGCAGAAACACAAGCTCTCCTCAGGCAGAGATAGGGCCTTCTTTCTTCATCTTTAAATCCCTAGCTCACAGCTCAAGGCCGGGGACGCAGTTGATGCCTAAAGACATGTTTGCTGCCTCCTCAGGGCTGCCTGAGGCAGAGTGTTCTGTCTTTTCCAGAAGCACAGTGGGTCCCTCTCTAGTCCAGGTGCCAGTGAGAAAGTCAAGTGTGGTTCCTCGCAGGGTGAACCCCACGGCCAGGGGACGGAGGTGAGAAGGGGGTGGGCTGCACCCCAGAGAAGGGGAAGCAGATGTCCCAGACTCCCTTGAATACTGCCCATCAAAGTTGTGTAACCTCATCCAGTAAACTAAATCCATTAGAACAGACTCAAGACAAAGCAGAGCGTCCACACTCACTCTGCCTCCATCCCCCTCGCCTCCTGGTGATAGGTGTGGGCGGAGGCCAAGCCCCCTGGGTTTCTTTTTTCAGTCCCGGTGTCCCAGCCGGCACCCCTCTGAGGGTACACAGGTGTGTCCCTGTCCCACCCTGGAGCACAAGCCAGGCAGGCAGAAACGATGTCCCCACGCTCTGCACGGTGAGGCCTCACACAGGCCCCGCTGCTTCGGCTGGGCTGCGCGCGTGCCCGGGCTGCTTCTCTCCCAGTTCTGCTTCTTGTGTATATTTGCAGGGAAGATGTTAACACTTCCTAACAAGCCTTTGTGTTCACCTAATCTCTGCTGTTTAACCTTTGACTCCCCCCTATTATCAGTGTCTGCCACCTTTGCTGGCCAGCCCAAGGGCCCCAGGAAGCGCCCTCAGCCTGGCCAGCTAGGAGGATGAGGCCGCATTCCACCCCGGTTTTGCAGGCAGATGGATTGCCTTTCCCTGGGGCAGAGCTTTGGGAAATAAAGCAAGCTTGTGGTGCCATTAGGATCCCCCAGCCCCCACTCCTTTTGAACTGTCAGCCTTTAAGTAAACATTCTTCTCCTGCTGTGGGTCCCAGCACCTTGGCGGGGAGCGGAGAACCTGGGAGGAGAGGGGCCCTGAGCGCCTCCGCTAAACTCCCAGGGATTTGGATAGGAGAGCAGGGCAGAAGTGCTGCCTTGATGTCAACTCTCTGAGTCCCTGGGGCAGCGGGGCTTTTGAAGTGGACCCGGAGTAGCTGTCACCACCAGGACCAGGCCCCTCTGAAGTATTCAAAGCCCTGTCCGCTCAGGCCCCTCACTTGAGTTTGTGTGTACCTGCCCGCAGCGTTTCCCTTCCCAGCCCACACCCCCACGGCAGCAGGGGGGATGCCAGGCCTGGGGAGCAGGTCTGCCGGCCACTGGCCAAGGCCCCGGGCTCCACTTGCACCAGGTTAGACGCCACACGGGCCTGCTGCTAGAGAGGAGGCGCTCTTGGTGACAAGCACCTGACCGGGAGCAGGGAGCTGGGTCCTGACTCCACGGACAGCGGGCCATGAAGCCAGGCGAGACACGTTACCTCCCGCTTCGGTAAAGGTCAGATTTCCTGTAGAATGAAGTCCAGGTGTATACATGTGGGCTAGGTATTGCTCTCTGGGTTTTTTGGGTTTGTTTTTACTAAAAAGGATCATTAATCTCTGGACTGGCCCTTGCAGGTGATAGGGATTGTGTGTGAAAATGGAGGGGGGAGGTTTCAGGGCCAGCACAGTAGTCCAGAGATCCAGCTTCTGAGATGAGTCATGTGGTTTGTCCTCCTAGATTTCTCTTTGTGGATGTACTTCCCTCTCTGGCCTACAAAGAGGAGTCAGGCCCACAGGGCCCTGAAAGACCCCAAACAAGGGAAAAAGTAGCTGGGGCCTTCAGAGAAAGTTGCATGTAAATGGCAACTCTTGGTCCCCAGCTTTGGGGAACAGCCCTAGCCAGATTTATTCTGTCCCTTGTTAGCATGCATGTTCCCGTGTTCTTGGGGTACAGCGGAGGCCTGCCTGAGCGGTATATTACAAGAGGCTTCTTCTGCATGTCTTTGGGAGTCTAGGCCTGAAGCATGAGTCACTCTCATCCCTGGTCTAATCAAGGAACCATGACGGGTCCTGCCCTTCCACTGCTGGCTTGGCCAAAACGCCTTTCATTCATACTGATGTTCTAACTGGCTTCCCTTCTTCCTCTTCGGCTCTGTGGAAAGTGTGGAAGAACAGTGTAGAAAGTTGGCACCAGAGGGCCTGCTGCCCAGTTGCTGGGGGTCACTTTGCTGGATGTGCCGATGACCTCTTGGTGTTCCCACAGGTACTACAAGAAGTTCTCCATTCCCGACCTAGACAGATACCAGCTACCTCTGGATGAGTCCTCGCTGAGCTTTGCTCATGCCAACTGCACCCTGATCATCTCTGTAAGATGCCCATTTCCCATCCCATAGGAGTCCCTGGTTCCAGCCCCAACACCTGGCATGTGCTTGCTTGCTAGAGAACAGGCACCTCTCCTTCAGGGTGGGGGGCTCAGCTGATCTTAGAAGTCACAGCTGGAAGAAGACAGGGTGACGTGGAGGGATGGAAATCACAGGACTGGGATTCTGGTGGAAGGCTCCTATCCAGCCATGTGACCTTGAGCAAATCATTCAGCCTTGTAGGCATCAATTTCCTCATTTTCAAATAACGGGATCAGAGGAGGCCCCGGGGTGTGTATGTAGGGAGGGGAGATGTGGCTGAATGATGTGCTCTTCCTGGTTCCATCCACAGTACCAGAAGCCAAAGGAGGTCCTGGCGGCTGAGTCAGAGCTTCAGAAGGAGCTAAAGAAAGTGAAACCGGCCCACAGCAGTGACGGGGACTGTAAGACCCAGTAGCGGAGCATCCCTGAGCCTGCACTTCTGGCAGCATGGCGGGTGGGTGAGGCTCTTCCGGACTTTGTGGCTTGGGCCTTTCTGGTGCAGGGGTATGTCCTCTCTTCCATGAGCTGTCCAGGCTCTGTGAGAACTGGGCCTTGGGGTGCTCCTAGCCCCTATATCATGGTCTGATCTCCCAAGTAAAGTCATTCTGAGTCACTGTTGGGGGACTGCCCTTTTGTCCACCGCTCTATGCTGTCATCACCAGGGAAGGTGCTGGTGAGGACACTCCCTTCTCTCCTCTCCTCAGGGACCTTCAACATCAAGCCTTTCACATACTCCGATGAAGCAGAGTTGGGGAAGCCCTGAGCCTAGCGCTGGGGGCAGGGGGCGTCTTCCCCATCCTGTTTGCATAAATTCAGAGGGACACTAGGCTGGCAGAGACCCTGGGCTGTCTTAGCTTGCAGAAGGGCCCAGATGAGCTCCCTACAGTAAGGGGAGGTAAGGTAAAGAAGGTTTTGAAATACAGAAACCTTAGAAGCAGCCCAGGATATTAAGACAGAAGGAGGGTTGTGTCATTGCAAAGAGTGTGGATGTGTTTGTTAGAGTAGGGTGAAGAAGGGTTACTGCAGGTGGGGAGGAGCTTAGCTCTCCAACGGTGCAAAGCCCTTCCACAGTCCCCTACCCCACAGGTGACACACACCCCACCACTGGGGCCAAAGGGGTGAGTGGTAATGAGAGGTTTGGTCTTTGGGACACGCTGAGCCATGGGGCTGGTCTTACCCTTTCCCCAACATGCCCATCCTCAAGTTTGAAGATGTTGTTCCCCTCTTAAGAGCTCCCAGGGCTCCCCAGCCAGAGAGGAACTGGTCTGTGAACAATCAAGCTTTATTTTTACAAAAATGAACATTGTAGCATGTCTTAGCAGCCGGCCTGAGAGTGGGCTAGCTTTCCTTTGTCCTTCCTCAGTTTCAAAGCAAGACCAGGCCACAGTGCCCCAGGAATGAGCCCTAAGAGCTTGGTCAAGGGTGGAGACTGAGGAGGTAGGGGCCAGAGCAGAGGATTGGCAGCCTCACCCCTCCTTCCAAGGAAGGTGCAGCAAGGGACCAACTGGGACGGCTGGAGCCCCTCACCTCACTCCACGCTCCTCATGGCTCTAAGAAGGGGCAGGCCTGTCCAGACCAGGTCCTTGCTCTGGCCAACAGGGAAGCAAGGCCCGGCCAGGTTCAGCCATTCCCTCAAAGCAGCAGATCCCTTCTCTCCAATTAGTTCCTGGGGGGGGGGGAGGGTAACCCCCAAATTCCCGGGAGTCAGCAGCCTTTACCTGACAGTGCCCAAGCACTGTGGTGACAGGTCTAGGAGCACAGGCACGGCAGGGGCGGAGGTATCCCTGCACCCTCCAGGCGGAGGGGTCCCTGAGTAGCTGGCTTCCCTGGCCCACAGGCCCGGGTGGCCCCGTCACGGGTTCTGAAAGTCCAGGACGTGGAGGTTGTAGGACAGCGCAGCATAGAGATGCTTGGTGGTGAAGCGCAGGCAGTACACGGGACTGCTGAGCGGGGTCGAGGTCAGTGGGAAGGCCTGCAACCGAGGGCAGGAGCCCTAACCTCAGCTGCCCGGCCCCAGTGCAGACTCCCCCACCTTCTCCAGGCAGCCCCACTCCCAGATCCAGCCCCTAATAAGGGGGTGTGCGGTGCGCTTACGTGGAGGCAGGCCCTCTGGCGCCGGTCCCACAGCCGCACGACCCCGTAGTAGGAGGACCCAGTAGCCAGCAGGTGGTTCCCGTCGGTCTGCAGGCAGTACAGGGTGCTGTCGTGGGGCTCCTCCCACTCCATGACACACTTCCTGTCCGGGAAGAGGCCATCAGAGGGAGGGTCAGGGTGCCCTCCACCCCAGCTTCCACAGGGGCCTTAGAAATCCATTCTGGCCAGAAGACAGAAGCTGAATCACTAGACTCTTTAGAAGCCAGACTTAATTCGGGGAAAGCCGCCTCTGGAAAGGGCTCTTTCTCGCCAATGCCCGAACCCCAGGTCCGATGAGACCCTCGTCTGTGCCTCACACGGCTGGCTACGTGTCACAGGACTTGGGCAGCAGGGCAGAAAGAAAGGCAGGATGCTGAGGGACAGGACCCTGACGACTCCCCGGGCTCTTAATCAGCGCCTGGTGGCTATGGTCTCCCAGGCCATGGGACCCGGGCCGCCGAGTGGGGAGTCCAAGCTTGATCTGACCCTGCCGGCTGCCACTCCTAGCCTCCAGCTGGAGGGCCCGTGCCTTCCGGGGGCACACCGAGACTGCCGCACACTCACCGGACACTGGCTCGGAGGTCCCAGTAGCGAACGTAGGTGTCATAGCCACAGGACAAGAGTGTGGACGGGGACTCATACATTACATCCAACACCCCAGCCCCTGGGGGGAAGTCACTGCCCAGGTGCATCATTAGCTGCCCACTGGGGAGAGAACAGAGGGGCAGAGGATGAGAGACTGTCCCGCCTTGGTCCCCACACCAGCTTTTAACCTAATGGCCTCAGTCCCTGGGGAAATGCAGCTCTCCCCCTCCCCCGCCAAGCTAAGACCAGGCTCCCTTAGGAAGGAGCCAAGGGAAGAAATGGCCCAGGATGCCCACCCTGTCACCCCAGTCGCCGTGCTGCCCCTCCCGCAGCTAAAGGCCTCCATCGGCCCGCAGCCCCTGCCTGCATCACAGCTGCTCGCCGCCTGGCCACTGCCCCTCGGGGAGGAAGAATGGGCCTCGCGGACAGGCCGGCCCCCCTCCCGTGCGCACACACACACTTGGTTACTTTATACTTCTTGATCCTGCAGGTCATGCAGTTCTGAGCTGCCTGAGTCCAATGCCTTAATTCCTGCCTGTAATCTGGGGCTCAAACCTCATTGGGGATAAAGACCACACAAAGGGAGAAGGGGAGTCCCAGGAGATGTTAAAACAAGTAAACACCTTTGTGTCTGGGGAGAAAAATCGCTGAGAAAGCAGCTTAGCGGGCCGGTCCCCGGTGTTCCTGGCCCGGCTGGCCCCCAGCCCAGGGCTAGCACGCCTGTGTGATCACAGCCCCCAGCCTGCTGGGCTCCAGCGTGCTCCCCCACCCTCGCCCCTCCCGGTGGCCGAGAGCAGATTACTGAGAAGAACAATTTCTTTGTGACTGTGTAATTCCCTCCGTGACCGCGGCAGTGGGCAGACCCCTCGCCCTGATGCCAGACCCTTAGCAACCACGTAGGGGGGCCTTCTGGCCCTAGCAACTACCCCTCAACATCAAGTGCACCCGCTAATCCCTGTGGCTAGGGAACGGGGAGAAGCAGAGAGTTTCTGCAGAATGACTGGGGGGGGGGGGAGGGGGGGAGAAGAAGGGCACCCTCCAGGCCCGATCCAGCACTTTCACCCAAGGGATGCTGGGCTCTCTTCCCTGGCAGGACAGGAGAAGCAAGGCCATGAACACTTCCCAGGGACACCCGGGTAAAAGGCCCCAGCAGTGGGAGGGAGGACTCCACGACCTCACAAGCAGTGCTCACCAAAGGGCCGAGGCAGATGCTACCAGCCACAAGTGTGAAAGCAGACTTCAGCCCCAGGCCTTCCAGCTCACACGGCCTCTGACCCTCAACCTCCCTCCTCCCCAGTGCAGCCACCATCTTCCCTAGAAGCTGAAGGAATAGAGGCGGCGGCTTGGGGTTCCCTTCTGCCTTTCCCCTGTGAGCCCTGGGCAATGAGGTGACCCCCAGCAAGGGACACTGTTGCAGTCAGTGGGAGGTCAGGCCCTAAGTCAGCACCCTGGCCCCCAGCCTCCTTGGGAGATGTTCCTCTTTCTGTGGGAGGTAGAAGGTAAGCCTCTGTGGTGGGAGACCCTGAGACCCCGGGATAAGGCCACCACCCACAGATCAGCATCTCCTAGAGATGGCTGACCTTGGCTCCCAGGAAGGGCTACCAGCCATGACTGACCCACCCTGGGCAGGCCAGAGTCCTAAGAGGAGTCCGTGCTGCGCACCCCCCCCGCCACCTCTCTTTTACAGCTACTTCTGGACATTTGTGCACACCCGGGTAGGGGGCTGTTTGGCTCCACAGTTCTCCCTCCTTCCAGATTTGGGGGCCCAGCCCCTTCCATTAGTGAGGCCTTCAGGAATGACTGAGGAGCTCTCCCCTTTAATCTGCAGAAGTAATTTCATGTTTGTTTGAAATAGAAGATGAAAGGCGGTGGGGGTTGGGGGCGTGAAGCCCAGCATGGCTCTACCTGCCCACCCCCGGTCCCAGGGCTCAGAGGGAAAGAGAGCCGGGCACCGGGGCCTAGACAGGGGCAGCAGCGTCGGGCCCGGCAGCATCAGGGCGATACCCAGAACAAGTTGCCACCCTGGGCCCCTGTCCCAGCATCCAAGCCATCCCTGGAAAGAGTCCTGCCGGTGTCTGTGACAAGAAACAGAACCCTGCCGGCCAGGGGAACCCCGAGGGCCAGAGTGAGCACCAGCCTCCCTGAGGCCAGCCCAAGTCCCGCAGCCCCTTGTCCGCCGGCCCAGCCTGGCCCGAGACAGAAGAGTTTCTTTCTGTGGCTGCCCGGTGCTCCGATTCTCTGAAACGGCCACACACACTTCAAATGGGCCAATAAAAAGATAAAATTTCTTTTGCTTCTGGGCCTGGGATCCTCACGACTCTGCTGTGCGGTGCCTGGGAGGTGAAGTCCAGGGCCTCCACGGACCCAGCCGGCTCTGGGAAAGGGCCCGTCTCTCCAAACAGCGGCCCAGCGCTGCCATGGGAGCCCTGCTGGGGCTTTGATTTGGGAAAACAAACAGAAATGGCACCATGGGCCCTTCGTGGCCCCCACCCCAAGACCAATTTAACTAGAAAACTCTAGCTCAACAGCTCTGGGGAAGGGAGCAAGATCGGCCCGACAATAGCCTCAAACTTTGGGGGGAAGGGGCACAAAACAAGCTGTCTGTCTCCTCGGCCCCTCCTCTCAGGCTCCTTTTCTTCCTGCAAGTGTGTTCTTGTAAAAACGATTAGATTGCAATTTGTATAACATGGTGACCCCCAAATTCAGACGTTTCACCCCTTTTCTCTGGAAAGAATGTCAAGAATGCTTCTCGGCCTCTCACGGTGGGGGGCGGGAGGGGGGTGCAGAGCCTTGGCTGTCGCACAACTTGTGTGGGAACAGGACTGCCCCTCAGAGTCCCGGGCCAAGACGGCAGCAAGGGCCGGCTCTGTCACTACAGAGGGCCAGACAAAAAGTCCATTCCCTTACAACTCCTGCACACAAAGCCTGGGCCTCCAGGAACCGCTGGGGGCTGGGGGGGGGGCCTCCACACCCCAGCCTCTCCCCAGCCTGACTCCAGCAATTCTCTTTCCACCCAGGGAAAGATAAAGACAGATGGGGCCACCCCTGTGAGCTTGATGAACGAGCGCAGGCCGGGGAGGGCTGCCCGAAGGAGGCCGGGCTGCGTGCCGCGTTCTCTGGGAGGCCCCAGAGTACCTGGGCGGGAAGAACAAGCAGAGGGCGGCCTCAGCCCAGGGACTTGAGGGGGCGAGCAGGTGAGGGAACCAGGGCTCCCACCCTGCTGCACAGCGATTCCAGCTCAAGGGAAGAGGGAGCCTAGGGAGGAGCTTCCTGACAGAAGGAAATCTAGTAAGACAAGGACCCCTCCACCACCATCTTTAGGGGACATATAGGGACAGCTAACTGGAGGTAGGTGTTGGCCCTGAAGACCCAGATGTCCCAGTTGGGAGGGCCCTTCCCTCTCCTGCTCTGGGCCTTGCCGAGCTGCAAGCCAGTGGCCACCCTGTCCCGAGTCCGCTCATCCCAGCCTCCATCTGCCTCCCTGCCCGGCCTGCCTCTGCTCCCAACACAAGCCACAGCCCGCAGAAAGTCCCCCTGTGTTAGAGGGCCCTGAGCTAGGAGAAGCCAGATCCCCGTCCTGCCTCCCTGCCTGCATCTATGAATGCCTGTGGCCCCCACGCCGCTTTACAGCCACTGTTAACACATGGGGTTCCCGTCCTCGGCGGGGCCCAGTCTGTGCTCGGGACAGAGGATGTTCCCTGGAGATCTAGAAGTTCTCGCTCCTCCACCTGGCATGTATGTGTGACCCTAAGACACAACAGTGGCTTTCAGGGGAGGGCCAGGATGGAAGAGTGACACACAGTTCACCTTCCCTCACCTTGGCTCCCGGGGACAGAGGACCTGAAGGTATAAGCTGGGCCAGACACGGTCACTCAGGAGGGCAGGTTTTTCCTCCTTCCCACCCCTCTCCTTCCTGCTTTTCCTTTCTTTGAGCAACAATCATTTCATGAGCACCTTCTGGATACCAGGCATTGTGCTTTAGTAGGAACTGCAGGGAGATGTCAGGGATGGCTTTGAAGGAGGCCTCCCTGTCCTCCAGAAGTTCTCAGTCCAGGGAAGGAGAGAGTCTGTCATGTAGCCAACTAACAATACAAGGGGTGACCGGGTGGGTCCCCAAAGAGAAATGAAAGTTTTACTGTAAGAGGACAGATCAGAGAACATTTCGGCCTGTGGGCATGGAGTGGTTCTCCAGGGAGTGACAGAAGTGGGACGGGCAATGACAGGAGCAGGAGCAGGGGGATGACCCAGGTGAAGGACCCGCCCCAGCAGGGGTGCAGAGCCGGGGCACCGGTGCCGTGTTTGCCCCTGGCAGGCACTCCGGCCTGCCCGGGATCTGGCTTTCGGACCGCGACGGCCCTCGGGTGCACACGCTCGGCGGGCACGAACTCTGGGAGGGGCAGGGAGCCACCAGTCTTCTCAGCAGGGAGGAGCTCGTCCTGTCCAGCCCTCTGGTGGGGCGGGCGGGAATCAAGGAGGCACAGGATGTCCCAAATGTAACACCGGAGTGGTGGAGACAAGGAGAAGCCCATGGAAACTTCGCCTGCCTCGGCCCCATCAGGCGAGCGGGAAGGGCCCTGCCCGAGCCCACGGCCTCTCCCCTGCATGTGTGCGCGCGTGCACGGCCCCCCGCGCCCGCCTGCGCACACGTGTTCAGACACAATGGCTCAAAGGCCAGGCAGCCAGGCAGCCCACTTTGTACTGCTAACAAGGGGCCCGTAATTACAGGAAGGGGCAGCCGGGCAGATAAAAGGATACAAAATTTCAACATCTGTTGCCATAAAGGGATAAGGAGAAGTGAAACGCAAAGTATCAGTTTGGTGTCAGCAGGCAGAGAGCCAATTTCAAAGAGTTCAGGGGGACAGAGGGGACAAGAAAGAAAAAGGCAAGGGGGGAGAAAGAAAGAAAGAAATTACAGGGTTCCTTAAAGAGGTAAAGAAAAAAGAAAATGAAAAAATCTGTCAGTAATACTTTCAAAGGAGAAGGCAGTTACTTTAAAGAGGGCAGTTCCCCAATCACCCTGACCGAGGGCTGGGCCGCCCTGGGTGGAGGCGAAGGTGGAGGCGAAGGCAGAGACGAAGCCGCACCTGGGCCGGGTGCGCCCGGTCTGTGCTGGGGACACG